GTGTGTTAGTGTGCATATGTGTGCATGTGTGTGTGCTCGCATGGGTGTGTGTGCATATGTGTAAGAGTGTGTGTGCTCGCATGTGTGTGTGTTCGTTTGTGCGTTATTGTGGGCATGTGTGTGTATGTGTGTGTATCTATTATGCTTGTGCGGATAAACGTTCGTACACGTGCTTATGTACGTATGTGTGTATGCATGTGAGTTCACGTATCTGTGTGCGTGTGCGTGTGCGCATGTAGGTGCGAGCACGCACACGCACGCACGTATATTGTGTGTAGGTGTGTAAGTTGCGTGGACTCACCACATAATCATTGAAGGCCGTGAGCCCCGTGGAGCGCCTCTGCAGCCGCTCGTTGTCCAGCGGGTTCGGGGAGCAAGGAGACACGGGCGTGCTGCGGCTGCCCGCCTTCCCCACCAGGTGGTTCAGGTTCACATCCACGCTCAGCTTGCTGCCTTTTAACTCCATCACGGCATCGGACTCGCTATAGGTACGCATCCAGGCGACTACCCCCACACCTCCAGTCGGGGGAACGAATTACTAGTCTCGAGGAAGTTAGTCAACACAACAGACGCTCTGCTCTCACAACTCACAACTGTCTCGTCGTAAAGATTGTTGCAGGGAAGAAAATTGGAGGGTTTTTTTGGTGGTTTTTGGGGGGTTTTTTTCAACCACACAATCTCGTCGCTTGGGGAAAAAAATTCACAATTTAGGAATGTAACCTTCTTGTAGAAGCCAAAAAATGCACGTAGATATTCTATTATCTACTACCAAATTTGTCGCTGGGAACGAATCACTACTAGACTTATTGTCCGGTGCGCAGTTCGTTGAAGGGAAGATATCCTGGCGTACTTTTAAAATGTTACTGTTAATATCCTAGAAGAGAAGAAGAAGTTGACATAGGAAACAAAACCAAAACAAAGTAATAAAAAAAGTAATAAAAGATTTGCAATTCCCAACACAAGTCAAAACTGTCACAAAGCCGGCCACAAAACTGAAACGATCTGGGGTTTTTTGTTGTTGTTGTTGTTGTTGTTGTTGTTGTTGTTGTTGTTGTTGTTGTTGTTTTTACTTCAAAGCAAACATTTCCAAATCGAAGACAGCACTATTGAAAGGCTCGCGACACACAGGGGCGACACAAGAAACATGTTAATGTTCCGGCTGTTTGCCTCCTCTAGACCCGCTTCTTACAAACCACAACCACACGTACAAGTCGACAGTTCGGGGGATTTCTCCCTACTCGTCACTTTCTACGAAACTCACTGGTCCGTCACCCCGGGCTGTGCCTTTCATTCACACGTCAGGCAGATGCGCGTCAAGAATTGAATATGATTACCTTATCAACGTTCAGTTCGCGACTCAAGTCTCTAAACGGTTTCTTATTCTCTGATAAAGAAAACAAAATAAAACAAAACAAAACAAAAAAATAAATACATTATGCCTTATGGCGTTTTCACCGACACATGTCAGGTAATAAAACATGTACTTTAGGAGGCGGACTTGCCTGCAAATGTCAACCTGGGCTGAGAGCGATACATGTTGTCTACCTGTCTTAGAGTTACGTCGCTCAAACTTCACGAACCTTCACTCGCTGACATTGAAACGGAGTAAAGAGACCCACGTCGATACAGTAACAGTCATTTTAACGCCGAGAAAACGTAGGCAGACTCACCAGACCATCAATAATCTATTTACAGAGGCACAAGGTTGGCGCTGCTGTTTTTAGCCTTAAGACAAACAGAAAAAAAACAATTATGGGGAAATTAGAAACAACAACAACAACAAACAAACAAAAGAAGCACGGACGACCTCACAGGAGGA